AATTGGCAAATTCTGTGGACGAAATGACTTAATTTGATAGGATGTAAAAGTTCAAGGAGTAATGTGCAATGTGTTCAAAAGTTAGTTAGTAGGTCTAGGGTTTCGAGTTTGGAAGAAGTAGGAAAATGGCGCGAATTTTCGCTGAAGTGTCGCCAAGGTTTGGTTCGAGCCACAAAAACAGAAACTCCTTGGCTTGGCTATCGCCTTGCCTTCGCTCGAGTGATAGTTTGTCGTTCGACTGTCTCTGAGCCCTCGCTTGAGCGACGGCTTTATTTGAAAAAGTTTGTTTCACGTTTTAAAGACTTTTTTCACGGCCATTCATTTTTCTAACCTACATATAAATACCAAAACACTCATGTACGAAAATTGCAAGGTTGAACATTGAGAGAGTTACATCTGTGAAAGATTCATTCGATTCCTTCTTTCAACACTCATCTTGTGAGTTTGTTTTGGAGAGAAAAACATCAGTTCAATAATCCAAATACCAAACTGATGTTCCTCTACATCTGATCAGAGTTCTGAAAATCGAGAAAATTTGACAGGAGTTCCAGTCTGTAAAGAACGCGGTGTTCTTCGTGGTTCCACAGGAGATAAACTATTTCACAAAGTTAGGAGTTGTTGCAGAGAGCGGAATCCAGGAGAGCTTTGAGAACTCCAGCTTGGAGTGTTGCAGGAGCAGAGAATCCATGAAAGCTGTTTGAATTGCAGTAAGGAGAACAGATAATACGTGTCGTCCTCTAGGCTGGTAGACTGTAAGTTATATATTGTTTATAGTGGATTGTTGACTAGCAAAGTGCCTAGAGTTTTTTCCAATTGTGTTTCTCCGTAATCATTCTGGTGTTAATTTATTACTTTCGTTATTTGATTGATTACATACTACGGTATTCAAATTTAGGGCTAAAATGACTTGCATGATTAATCATCTAAATAAGAATTAAAAAGTGACTGTTGCTGTTTAATTCGTAATATATTTTAAATTCCGCATATAATACCTATTCTCCCCCCTCTCTAGGTATTGTTAAGGTCGAACTGCATAACTTTCATCAACTAAGATGTCAAAAATGGATGTCAAATTAACTTTATCATTGAATAAGTGTTATTCAAATAAATGGTCATATTGCTTGTCAATCATGAAATGTCAACCAAAACTATGTCTGTTTTACAAAACTGTAAGTTGATTGATTCAATAAATCATGCTACACAATTAGATTGTAAGTTGATTGATTCAATAAATCATACTGCACAATTAGACTCAAGAACAAGGAAGACATTTGTCGACACATGATTGGATAGTTTGAGAAAAAAATCAAACAGGTGCGTCAAGTCAGTATGTCCATCATTTCTCTATCTTTGAGCCTATTCAATCATCGTTATTCTAATTCAATAGGAAGCTCTTAGCAAAGCACATTTTTATTTTATAAATAAAGTACATTAGGTTGTCTATTGTAGGAGGATCTACGTAATGTCGCCTATATGATTTTATAATATGTTTAATAATAAAATCAAGGGATAATTGTAGCAAAAGCCCCAACCTTTGAAACACTAGCAGATTTTACCCAACCCTTTGATTTGTTGCAGTCGTCCTCTAACCTTTCAAAACGTTGTAGGTGAAGCCCTTCTTGACGGTTTCCATCTACAATTCCGTAAGTTGACCAAAAATTTAACTTTGACCACATTTTTAATATTTTAAAAAATGGCAAAAGAGTAATTTTATATTTACCACATTAAATGATTAAAAAAGAAAAGAAAATATAAGATCTTATTTGGGATGGATTAAAATTGAAAAACTAGCTGTTATTGTTGACTTTAATAATTTCTTTGGGACTCGTTTACACTTTTTAAAAATATTCGGACAATGGTTACAATTAATTCTTTAGTTTTTTTTATTTGAATATGAGGGTATATTCGTCATCCCACTGTTTTTTATTGAGAAATTAGATGAAAATGGATAGAAATAATGGTTTGCGCTCTCATATTATAATTGAGGGAGAAAATGCTAAAAAAATAAAAGGTAGGAGTGTTTTTTGTAATAATAGTGAAAGATAGGGGTATTATGTGTTAATTACACTTTTAATAATTTATTTGGGGACTCATTTGCGCTTTTCAAAAAAGTTGAGACTATGTTAGCAATTTTTTTTCTTTTTCCTTTTGTGTTTATTTAAAGGGAAGGGTATTTTGGTCATTTCGCAATTTTTAATTGAGAAAATGGATAAAAATGACATTTTGCGCAATGAAATGAGGAAATAAGGGTGAAAATGCCAAAAAATAAAAGGTGAAGACGTTATGTACTAATTACCCTTCTAAAAATATATATGTATAACTTTTCACAAAATTTTTTGTAAAAAATCTACATCGAACAGCCTTAACACATTTACTAGGACATAACCAATTCAAAAGTTTCCCTATCCACGGAACTTCATACATTAGGTACCGAATTGCGAACGTTCCTCATCTTCAATGGTTGAGAGAGTTATCACAAGAGATAACTCAATAACTCTACCTTCCAGCCGTTACTTTATTGCCTTAGCAAAAAATGAATGCATGTTATTCTTTTTCTAGAGATCCTAAAACCTCTTGACCAATATTTGGAACTTTAAAAAATATGATTTGTTATACAACACGTGACAATTTTAAAAAAGAAACATAAGAAGTTAATATCTTGATTATAGTGTCTAGTTTCTTCAGCACTGCATACCAAACATGACCACAAGATTTTCACTCGAATTTTGCCATTGAAACAAGTACTATAAACGAAGGCCATAAATCTTGTATCTTAGAACAAATCAAGGCTAAAATACAGTTATTGGTTGCAGTTTGCTGTAGGTAAAGACTGAGACATAATTCAACAAGAAAAAGAAAAACCAGCTGCACATTTCACCATTACTAAATCCCGCTTTAAGGGGAAAGAAACACTGCTGAAAGGGACTTTAATTAGGTCCCAAATTGCCCAGGTGAACTGAATTTCATTCATCCGTAGTAATAGTTCTGATAATGAGTTGAACCAAAGTTGTTGAAGAATGGCTCTCCTCCTATAAATCCTTCATCAAAGACTTCATGAAGTCCATCAATCTACAAATCACATACAAATTCATATTATGAGTTAATATCATGATAATTAGTTCGAAGTCGAAGCAAGATTATGTGTGTATTAACGTCTTGATTTGAACGGTAAACTACTCGTTTTGACAATGCCAATCTTATAGTGTTAAAAAAAAAGAAGTTAAAAAGAAGTCACTTTTGAAAAGGGCTTGAAAACACATCTAGTGTATTGAACTAGATAAAAGTGGACATTAGTAAAAAAAGACGTTCCCATGAAATATTTTTCTATTTTGTTATTAAATATGGTCCATTTTAAAATAACAAGCAAAAGCAGTCAAAATGAGTACTTTCTTGCTAAATAATTCTAATAAAAAATAATAAATTTAAAGCCTATATATTATTTTATCGGAATTAAATATAAAGTTGTGGAAGAGAATATTACCCAAAGATCATCTTCGTCTTCAAATCTATTTAAAATTGATGCTTTGGGAATCTCTCCAGCTTCGTCGTATTTTGCAAACCTGCCACGTATTCTTGGTCGATTGTCGGCTAGCGTCTTGCGACATGTATACTTGCATTATACCAACCATATTGTTAGCTTATGGTAATGAAATATTCTAATTGAGTAGATCAAGAAAATATTATTGAAATCTTCTGATTGAGTTAAACTAACAAGCATGCTTGAAGTGAGTTGAAATAAATGTTCAAGTTTGGTGATCAACGTGGAATAAGGTTTTAGCGAAGTTTATGTAAGCCACTAAACTTTACTTTGTTCTGAATTAGCCGCTGATCAAGAAATTTACTTTTTAAATAGTTAGATCGATTTTGATGACGTGAACTTTTAGATGATCTCAAATACACTATATTCTTTATAAAAATTGTACGTATTGAAAAGTATCAATGTACCTTAATCGTCTTGTTGAAGTTTCTTTGAGACCTTTTGGCTCTGTACCTTTGAATCCTCTCTTTTCTCTCTTCTGCACTGTAGCGCCCTACTTTGAAGTTTGCATCATCCATGAATGACTTCTCCATAGACAATGGACTAGAGGACAATGCATTGCCTGTTTGCAACTTTGTTCTCATCTTCTGAAAATGGGAATGCAATCTTAATTACATGTCAATATGACCAAGAATTAAAGAAATTTATTCCCTCTGTAACCCGTTAAAAGTTTAGGGAAAATACTTTTCGTGTTTTAGTTTTTAGTTTTGAAATTTGAATTTATTTTGGGTTGTGTTTTGAGTGTCAATTTTGAGATTACTACTTTTTGTCATTTTGAATAATTGTTTTAAAAAATAAAAAACGCGTTTACTTTCTAATTTTGAAAAACTGAAAAACTGATTATTCAATATATATATATATATATATATAGTTTTTTTTTTACTTATATAACAAAGAAAAAGTAGTTGTCATTGTGGTTAAGGCATTGAAATACCATAATAGTGACCCGAGTTCGAATCTCAGCCACATACCAATTTATATGAAAAATTTTGTACTGTGCATATAAAACAAAAATTCATTTGTATTGCGGAAAAACAAAGTTGAACTCGTGGCCTTTAGAAATTCATTACTCTCCCAACTAAGCTATCCCACTATTGGCAAAATCTAGCCGTTTTCCGCGTTTTGAAGTTTTGGCTTGGTTTTAACTGAAAACAGTCAAAACGACTTTTTTGGCGTTTTTCATTTTCTTTGTAAATTTTAAACTCGTTTTTGGAAATTCGTTTATAAAAATAGGTAAGTAAATGTGTTTTCAGTGTTTTCGAAAACTAAAAATAGTCTGAAAACAGCAAAGAGACCATGCCATTAACAATAGATGATTCAATATAGTACTCGAATAAGTCACGAGTTCAACGTGTTAGACATTGGACGAAAAATAAATTCAGCCAGTAGGTGAGGGATACTTTGCTGATGAACTGTGATGACTTAAAATTCAACTTTCGACGATGTAGTTCGAGAATGATTCCACTTAGAAATTTATAGAAATCATCAAACAAAATAAAGAGAAGCAGCTAAAACTTGTTAAAATTTAGACTAATTAGTACAAAACTAACTTGCAAATCTCCAGTGCTGCAAACCCTTCTCATTTCACCAGATGAAAAACTGGTCCCTGGTGGACTAAAGATGTGTTTCAGCGAATTTGAACATTCCGAAACACAATCAATTCCAGGCTGAAATAAATTATTTTGTTTTCCATCAAATGAATTGCTGCTAAAACTCCTCTGCATGAACTTCATTGCAATCTCAGAACCCTCATCATAGCTTTGAGGCGTCAATGAATTATCATGACAAGAAAAACTCTCAAAAGGGACTGGAAGTTCCTCTGATTTCACCTCTGAAAAAGGGTAGTTTGCATTTTCTAAATAGGATATTGAGAGATTTTCAAGCTGGAAACTTGGTGAGGAAGAAGAAGGTGAGAAAATGATAGACGAAATTTTTCCGAAAGAATTTGTTTCATCGAGTGGGTTTTTCTCTTGAATTAAATTTGAACTATTATTAATATTTTCTTGAAATTCTAGAAAAATATCAATGGAGGAATCAGTAAATGGAGGGAACGGTTCAGTTAAGAAATTGTCAGATACAGAGAGATCAGAAGACATTGAAAAAATATAAATTGAACTCCAATAAATGACTTTTTTTCCTACAAAAATCTCTCTTTTACACTGTGTGTACTGTGTGAAAAAATATGTTGAGATTAGGTGAAGAAGGGACAAGTATTTGGTGAAAAAGAACAAGAAAATGAAGAGAGTTGAGGTGGGCTGCTTTTCTTTAACAACAACTCTTGTCCATGATCAAGCAACAAAAATACACACACACACACTCTATCAATTTCACAGACACTGTGTAATACTTACACAGAGATAATATAGAGATACTCAGATTCAGATGGTGAATTGAGTATATATAATAGGCAGAGAAACTTCTTCTCGTAAAGTAGTTTATCCTTTTTATAATAAAATATGCAGAATCAATGCTTAAAGATCAAAGGGACAGAACAAGTTGAACCGCCTGTTCAGTTAGTAAAAATTGCAAGAATGGTTCCAAATTTATAGTTCATGATAAGTGTATTTCGTACACTTATTTCACTATAAAATAAAAGAGGCAAAATATTGGCACGCGTCAAAATTCAATTTTTTTTTTCGCCGACTGCAACTACACCATCCCGACCGCCATACTTCTTGTCCTTTCTTCACCCTCTTTTTCCTTTCCCAAATTTCAAGCCCAACACCCTTTAATTCCTCCAACCATCGTCGAGATTTGAGTTCTCAAAACCCTGGCAATACTACCGCTAAGAATCGCACGAAAATGAGCACCGGACAGGTCATCTTCAGCAGCGTTATGAAGGCAGCTTTCGCCTCATTGCTGGGTATGTTTTTCACCCTTCCTCTGTTGATATACATGCAGAATGTATATGTAGCTATATTTTCGGATTTAGCCCTTCCACAATGTGCTGAAATTGATTTCAGTTTTGTTGGGTTTTCTTTTTCTTATGTTTAGAATTGTTTTGTAGGTTGTTGCAATTGAGTTTTGTTTGACTACAGAAAGTTGTGAATTGGGCATGAAATTCTCAATTGTGTTTTGTTTAATTCCTGGAGGAATGAGTAAAAACATGAGTTTTGGTAAATATTTTATCTTATAGGAGTTTTATCAACTGGTCTTGTGTAGAATTGGAAATAATTGATAGCAAAATGGTGCAAAATCAAAACTCAGAGTTGATTTTTCTATATCTTGTTCGTTTCTGGTTTTATTTTTTCTTTCTAGCATTTTTTGAAATTGGGTTATGAAGCTTTTTTTTTCTTATTGATTATGGATCATTATTTATCACGGACTTGGAAAATTCATTTAATGGGATAGTCTTTCTCCTTAATTCAGTTTTTCTCCAATTTCTTAGGTTTCTGTTCTATTGTCACTATAAAGTGTGTAAGGTTAAAACAAGCAGCTTCAAAACAATTAAAAAGGGTGGAGAGAGTGGATACCCTTCTGTCGAAGTTGTTTGAGTGAGTGTTTGGGCCAGACAGACGGTACTAACAAGAGTATTAACCATTTGATTAAATGTTGAATCTAGCAAAAAATAAAAATAAAAAATTGGGACACCGTGTGGCACGGAGGTCTCCGTGTGCACACAGAGACACCTCTCTGCACCATACGGAGACTCCGTGCGCACATAGAGACCTATCTCCATGTGTGTATTTGGGTCAAACACACGGTGCTAACAAGAGTATTAACTGATAAAATGTTGGATCTAAAAAAAATAAAAATCCGAACACCGTGTGCGCACGGAGAGAGGTGTCTCCGTGCTACATACATCTCAGTGCTACATGGAGACCTTCTCCAGTGTCCGGACTTTTTTTTTTTTTTTAATTTCTCGATGGTTTTGAATATAAGTCTTCTTTTTTTTCTCAAATAACATTTCCTTTCACGGGCAACGCCCCTAAGCCCCCATGAAGGGCGCTGCCCCGTCGACCGAACATGTCGATCCTTGTCAGGAGCATTGCCCCCGAACCCCCAAGAGGGGAGCTGCCCCCTTGACTCCCGTGACCTAACCCCGTCGGGCGTTGCCTCGAGCCCCACGAAGGATACTGCCCTCGACCCTGCAACCTGACGGTCGATACCGTTTCGAAGTGGCTAACCATTTGAATAACAACAATAAATAAATTATAAAAAAATATATTATCTCCAAACTAATAGAAATATCAGTATTTTCAATTTCTAACTTCTTGACGATTGGATATGTTTTTAGGAGTTCGTCATCTTGTTAGACTATATAATTAAAAACGACACGAAAATAACAATCAAATTTTTCATCATTAGAACTTTAAACTAATGTAATTAGGTTCCTAACACAAACAACTTGAATCTAAACAATTAAAGCTAAAATGTGTCAAGCATGAGTACTTAAGTCTTCATTTAAGCTCCAAAAACATTTACAACCTAATATAAAAGAAAATCATTAAATCATTGATTATATTTAGTTAATAATACCAAATCTTATGAAGAATCGAAAAGATACATAGAATATAGATGAGAAGTGACTTCATTCGAATTAACTTATGAATATTTTTCATGTTTACTAATGAATTTCTCTAAAATTTACATATATTTAATTTCAACATTAACAACTAACGTACAACGCACGTTAATCACACTAGTAGATTGTCAAAACATGGATATTTGTTATTATTTAGATTGAGTTATGGCTGAATTTGTTGTTTATTGCATGTTTTAGATTTACATGAAATTGGAGAAAAGGAGTAAGAAAGGGAGCTAACCGAAACAAAAGGAGAAGATGAGGATTAAAATGAAAATAATCAACAGTTATCTTGGAGCGAGAAACGAAAAGTCGAGAATGCAAGGACTCAATTGGACAGGAAGAGAAGCGCAAGGATTGGAGAGAAGTGAAGATGGAAGAAAAAAAGAGCTCGTGGAAAGTTTAGAGGCCAAATTGCAAAAGGCTCCAAGGCGCGTGCCCTCACCTGCAGGCGAGGCGCGCGCCCCAGACCAAGGGAGCCTCGACTGAGGCTGCCCAAACGACTTAGGTGCGCGCCCTAGGTTACACTAGGCGCGTGCCTCAAGGCCAAACAGGAAAAAATCCTACTTTCTGTATTTTGTTTTGGTAATAATTTAAGGCAATCTTTATAACATATTAGAGGGAAAATTTTCATGACTTCGGGAGGAAAGCCATATTTTTTTAGCAGAAAAAGAAAGAGAACTTACATCGAAGAACAAGGATTTCATCATTTGGGTCCGGATTTGGAAGCTTGAAGTGACGATTTTCAGATTTTATTTATATTTCTATAATTCGGGTGATGGCTTCATTTTATTTTCTATGTAATTCTTATATTACCATGCTAGACTAAATTCAATTGTATTGGAGGGATGAGAAAACTCTTTGATTTTTAATTTCTAATTCAAAACTTGTTATTTTTAATTTAATTCTCGAGTTGTGATTCCGTAAACATGCATATTCGTATTATTTTAATGCTTGTGCACCATTTAAGCAATAAGTTGCTTATTCGTAATATTGAAAAACTCACGATAGATAGAACACTGTTTATAGAACACATGAATAATAAATATTATGAATAATATTTATGAAATGTGTGGTCATGTGTGACAATCCTAAATTTCAATGCATGTTTGTCATATGAATGCGGATTAGGAATATGATCGTCTCGTAATAAACATAAATTTATTATATCTTGGAAAAGAATAGTAAATAAAAAGGGAATCATCGGTCGTCACAACTGCATGGATTGAGTTAACTATCACAAGTTGAGAATTGAGATTAAAAATTGATTAGTGAAGTTGAAAACCCAATATTCATTGCTTTCGTAGTTATAAAACACAATTAGATATAAACCGAACATATTTTGTTACAATCACGAATTTAAATATATCGAATACACTAGAATTAAGCTCTATTTCCCATGGGACGATAACTCTATCATCACGATTATTACTTGTACAACGAACTCGTACGCTTGCGGGATTATAACGTAACAATTCATGTAGCAAGTTAGCCCCCAACATTTAAATCGAGACATGTTCTTTCCTTTTCTTTTGCCTGATTGAGATCGAGGGTAAAGCAGCATTTTTACGGCGACTTAATTGTTGTTTTTCCTAACATCTCAAAAAGGATCAAAACCAGTTTTATAAAAAAAAATAAAAATCTCAAGCAAATCCTAAGTGACAATTTATGGACTATATAAAAGAACGATACAAAAGCTTTAGGGAAAAAAGCATCAGGATCCCGAAGCATTGAACTCAAAGATTCTGTGATTTTTAACCTTTGATTTCTAGCACATGAGGTTCCAAACCTTTCAAATGTTTATGTCTTAGGTCTCTTAGTGACAAAACTGTTCAAAGATCAAATTTTTAGTAAAAATAATTATTGTACTTTAGTTTGATTTATAAATAAAGGTACTTTGACATTTATTTTTTACATTTTAATGACATCTCTTGATATGTTAAAAAAAAAAAAAAAAATTGACTATTGATTCGAATAAACAGTTTTGCTACACTGGCATCTTTGATGACATTCTGGTTGATATTTCATGATCTAATTGGCAATCTGACCGTTTGTTTGAATAACACATATTCAAATTAATGGTCAAAATTTTAATACATTATGGGATGTCAACCAATTTGTCAAGAATCGATGTCAAAGTAGCTTTATTCATCAACTTGAAAGGCAATTTGTAGAGAACTAAGCGATATGATTGATAGAGTTATAGATGCTTCAAATTGAGTACATCCTCCACAATTTTTTTATGACAACTGATCAACTTACCAGGTAAAAAATAAGGAATATTGCACTATTTGTCCTGAGCCTATTGCCTTATTAACAAGTTGGTCACGGACCTTGAGGAAGCAAGTTAGTCTTCAACTATTCATTATATTGAACAATCAAACACGATCACAAAAATTTCTGTTAAAGTGACACGAACTATTATATGTCCAACTTTATAATTCTAGATTGGTGCTAAAAACTATGAAGAATGACACATTTCTAAGAGGACCACATACCATTTAACAAAAAGAAAAATAGTAATCATCCAACTAAGCAAAACTATGCATTGTTGGACAACAAAATCCAAAA